GTCACATGTGGTTCAAGCGCGTCAGAAATACGAGAAAAACGTTCTCCTACACTGAAAAAAATTATTCAAAGCAAATTTATTTGGGCTGAATTTAAGCAAACAAATTAAGTTGAACATTACTAAACTTAATTTGTTTGTTTAAATTCAACACAAACAAATTGTTTGCAACAGTTCTGCATGCAACACTTTTTTCAATGTAGTTCACGTGTCTGCCGTCAGAAATAGTGTGTGTGTGTGTGTATTACCGGCCTGTCAGCTGTTAGCTCAGCGGCTCTTTAACACACACACACAAAGAGAGAGAGAGAGAGAGAGAACCAGAGTACTGGCATGAAAATTAACAGGTATGAAAGTCGTGCAATTTACAAAAATGAGCAAAAAAAGTCTGTTATTGATCCTCTGCTGGCTGATTTGCTGTTCATTCTAATCGCGAGCCGTTTGTGTTTTATTTCGTGTGTTGTTTTTACCACGGTTTGTAGGGGTTTCAAAATTAATTGTTTCTTCGGTGCACCGCGATGCAGACGCGGACAATTCGGTATCGATTTAGTAATAACCATAACCGGTTATTATGTAGTGACGTCATTTATCTCCTATGCGCTCTGTCGTGAGGGAGGTGAGCGCCGTTATTTACAACACTCAGCCAACTCAGGGCCGGCCCGTGGCATAGGAACCATAGGCAAATGCTTAGGGCGCTGTATATCTAGTGGGGCGCCAGAAATGAGCGCGCTTCAGTTGGTTTTGTTTTCGATTTTCCTGACACACATTCAGTTACAGACGGCAATAACTCAAAAAACGCTTACCCTAAAAAGATCTAAAGTGTGTTTCCTACAGAAAGACAAAGCTGGGTATGTTTCACAGCTGTCTTTCTTTTTTTCGCTCGACATTACGAGCACTGCTCCGTTTAAGCCCTCGCAGTCTGCGTTTACTTTAGCCGGCAGAGCTCGCGCTGAGAGGAGCTCTCTGTAAGGGACCGTCGGAAAAGTGCTTATTTTTTTCGTTTTATTTTTTCCGTTTTTCTGCTCCGCTCAGCGCGAGCTCTCCCTGTTGCAAGGGCTTAAGTGTGTTTGTGTGTGTGTGTGTGTGTTTGTTTGTTTGATGCTGTCTATGTTTGTGAATGTGTTTGAATGAGAGACAGTGGCTGTTTCTCAATATGCGTTCTTCAGCGGTCTTGCGTCCTCGTGTTCTCGTGAAACGTCATCATCAGCTGCCTAAGTTCAGTTCCAATACTCAAGACCGCAAGTACGGAGGACGCGTGAAACTTCCCGGATGTGATCTTGATATCGAGGACGCAACGATGCAGACTTGAGCACCGAACTCGCTCTGGAAGTCCCAGAAGTCATTGCGACTGGAGGTGGGAAGCGCTGTATTTTATCTAGATTTATTATTAAAGTTCATAGATATGAACTATTTACCTCAGGAGTTTCCCTAAATGAAACGGTGAAAGTAAATATTAACATGAACATCTTAATAAAGGAATAAACACATTAAAGATGTTTGTTTGCTGAAATTCATATTAAAATCTGTTTTATTTATATTGTGCAACATATATTTATAATGTTTTTATGCAAAGTATAGATTTTGAAAAGGGGAAAAACAATAAATCGTTGTATGAAGGCTGTAATGTTTAAATAATTTACCACTTAAAAGACGTGAAGGTCATGTGACCATCAGGAAGAACGCAGCATCCCATTTCTCAAAGGACGCGTTCTCTGCCCTCGCGGTCTCCTGAGTTCGTTCTTCCGAGGACACCTGGCAAGACCGGCCTCCACAAGAACACAAGTCCGTTCTCTGCGTTCTTGGAATTGAGAAACAGCCAGTGTGTTGCTGTGTGTCTGTGTGTTTATACAGACAGCATGTTATAGCCTCCCCCCTAAAATATAACACTGTATATGGAAAGCATCGTCAATGCACCGTGATATCGAATTGAACCGAATCGATGGCATGATAATCGTAACCGAACCGAACCGTGAGACTAGTATAGGTTCACACCTCTAACGGTTTGTGTTTTTCTGTCATTTTGAAATGACACTAGCCTATATTTTCGTGTGTGTGTCAAACATTTTGCTGAATTACATGTGTTTGGGCTGGTTATATATTTCAAATAGAGAGAAAATGTTGACTTTAGCGATGACGAGGCTTCATTTAAACTGCAGAAGATGCCGTCTGACTACGAGGGGAAAACGCCTCACAGCAGCTGTTTTCCATCCTATTAGATCACATTTCTTTAAATGATCAGTCCAGGAGATGCTGCTGATGGACAACAGGATTAGTTCAAAGAGGATAAAAGCAGATAAAATAGATTAAAATTATCGTTTCAAAGCTGTCCAAATGTGACTGTTTACATGCATCAGCTGCCGACCGGAAGTTCTTCGCATCCTCCTTGCGCATACACGCAAAGCATAATGGGTAATTTTGCGTTCCATGAAAAAGGTCTATACATGAAAGGCTAATGTCAATTCAGAGCTAATCGGTGAAGCTATCTTTAATTTTTTTTACAATAAAC